ATCGACCAACTGTGCGGTGATATCAAGGAATAAAAGTACGATAAGCGGCTCGTATAGCCCAAGAGCGGTGGATACCAAGGCTTGCGAGATCGGATCCAACGTTTCGACCATGTCATTAATATAATCCCTACAGTTGAAGGCCCTAGCTCGGATGTTGGTGAGAGAATCCCGCGGCGAGACTTCGTCCGAGGATGACTCCTTTCCAACGGGTCGCGCCTGGTCGTGCGCTGCGTGGTTTTCGTCTTCAAAAGGGATTTCACGTGGAGAGTGGTGGATGTGCTCAAGGATACCATTATCCCAAAGATACCGCAGGATAAGCTTCTTGATCTGTCGGCGGAGCAGCACCGATACGAAGAGCAGCTTGGCAGGATCCGTTGGGGCTGCCTGGCTCGCTAATACGTAGCTGAGTGGTACGGGCAAAAGCACTGGAGCTCCGGTATGCATTGATTCCTCATCCGGCCGTTGTTGTACGAGGCAGTTATCATCGTCGTCGTCGCACGAAGCTTCCTCATTTAATGCCGCTTTCTCCTCCATCGAGGCCTGTGAAAGGGGGCTGTCGAACTTCATCCATGCTGACGTATCCCGTATGATTTGCGTTTTCTGTTGGCTCGCCAACTCCACAAAGTCCATGGCAGTGGGGGTTATAGAATACAGTGCGCGGAGGCATCGTAAGCGGAGGCCGTGCGTCTGGAAAAGATCAAGAAGGCGTTTGACGTGTCGTCGGGTCGCTTCCGCGAGCTCGCCAGCCTGCATCATCGACACCGTCGAGAGTGGTGGTGGTGGCGGCTCTACTGAAGGCGAACCCACGACTTTGCTATGGCCAACCGCTTGGACGGCACCGGTCGGAGGGATAATCGAATCGTACTGCGTGTATACAGGCACATCCTTGTGAATGGACTTAGGGCTTGTTAATAGGGCTTCATCGAAGAGCACCCTTTCGAACTGCTTTGGAAGCATCACCATGAACACGCCACGCAGGAATCGAAAGAGAAGGGATCCCAAATCGGCATGGAGGAGGGCGCTCGACGGCTCGGAGGACTCCGCGCGTTGTTGGTGGTCCAACTGCAGCTTTTCCTGCACATTTTGTAGATATATAAAGGCATCCAAGAGCTTTTCAATGAGAACGGCATTCATTGGCGCGGATGAGTCATTTTGTAAGACAAATTCCCAGATACGTGCCGCTAGCTCAAGCGCCAGACGACGCAGCCCTGCCTCACCGCTACCCCCTTCCAAACCCGCCAGACAGAGCTCTCGGTTGGGGATAAGGCTTAGAAGAAAGGCCGCGTGTGCGTGCAAATCTTCCATCACACCATTCTCATCCAAAGGAGTAACGGAGGACAAAGGAGTGGTCGTGGCGCTGGGAAGGAATGAAAAGGCCGCTGCCGCTACCAAATGTCGCATAGCTTTTCCTGTGCAGCATGCAAAACATTGATGGAGTACACGGGCCACAAGAAAAGAGTCGGATACCGATATTCCGGCCGCACGAATAGCGTCCTTCTCCCTTTTCCTCCCCTTCAACTCTCGCCTGGTGTACAACAGCAGCATCTGCGGGTCGAGTAGTACGGCAAAAGCACCCAAAGAAACACTTCGTCGCCGAGTGTGAAAAGTTGGGCTAGAGACATCATCATCCAGTGCACTTTTCATTTGCGAAGCCTTCGCATCGTCCTCGCTCGTCACCTGAACACCCCTTCCTACATGGTGCATCGTTTCCACAATATCCTTTGCAATGTCCTCCTGCCCTTGGCAGAGCCAATAAAGCACGTGGAGCGCCCTGGTTAGCTTGCCACACGAGGGAGAGGGAGCGTCAGTGGGTGGGGTTGTTGCTTGATGCGGGGATTGCTCCGGGTGTTGTGGTGTACCGTCGGCTCCCTTTTCATCACAAGCCGACTCAATCCAAAATAGAAGCAACATCAGGGGAGAAAACGCAGCCCAGGGGTAATCGACAAGTTCCAGCCACGTAGGCCCATCGGAAAGCAGAAAGGACGGAATCCAGGATGGAGCTACATTACGCGTGGTTTCACCAGCATCCTCTATGGAAAGCGCGGACGCATTTTTGCTTGCGAGCTGCTTCCACATCCCGACCCGTTCTTTCAAATCTCTTCGGTGCAGCCTCCACGATCCATGGTGGGCCGCAACATCGACAGCAGCCGCTATGAAGAAAAGAGGTACCGGCATCGCATCTCCATTCCACTGACAGCAGAGCGGAATAAAATCCTTCGATGCTAGAAGTCCCCCACCATGGGTAGACAGACACGCCAAGCTCCTCATCAGCAGTTCAACATCCACCGCACGCAGCAATGAGCCCTCCAACGACTTCACACTTTGGCCTTCCCTCTCAAGGTGGTCATCGCTCCTTTCCTGGGGTTGATAGGCCCTTTCAAAGGCGCTACACTGTGCTAACAAGTCTTCCACAAGCACCTCGAGTGGTACGGCATCCTGACGGTGAATATAAAGGAGGAGCATCCGCCTGAACCAGGCGAGCTGCGCTGAAGGGGAATGGGGCGCCTCCTGGCCACCCCCCACCTCGTCGCGTAGCGAGACACCGGAAGAGGCTGAGCAGAGGGCAAACCGCGCGCAGTAGTCGATAAGATAGTGCATAGCTACTAAAACTTCAACCTGGGGATCCCTGTGGTTGCCCTTATTGGTGTGCAGGAGTCGCTCCCCATCCCTCGAAGGCGGAGGTGCCGCACCGATGAAAAATAACGTCACCCATCTCTGGATGCATCGTGCGTGCTCCGACGTTGCTAGCCAGTCAAGATGTACGAGAAGCATCAAGAAACGTCTAAATAATTTCTTGGCCAATGCCTCAATGTCACTTTGGTATGGCTCACACGACAAAGCGGTGTGCAGGTTGCTCAGGTACCCTTCAAACCCCCCAGATCCACTATTGTCGTCTAAGACAACAATATATGGGTGCCCTGAGATAGTATGAAGCAGCCGCTCGGACGTATCGCGAGCCGCTTGACGAGCACTACACCAGACCTCATTTATCAGCATCCACGCGACCTTGGCGGGGTCATCGCTTTGGAGCCGATCCCCGGCGAGAAGGCAGTCCTCGAATAGATCCTCTTCGTTGGCATCATCGCACCCCCAACCAATCTCATCCTCCTGCCACGACTCCTTTCCATCGGGATGGGGTGACAGCTTGAGATAGAGAAAGTCCCCCCAACCGTCGGGAGGGAGCAAGGGCCCGTTGGCGTCACCCCCGTCCTGCCGCGTGGCCCTCACATCGAGCGAAGGACCCTGGAGGACTTCATAGACGTTTGACAGCCTCCACCACTCCTTCACCGGATGACAGGCGAGAAATGTACGGCAGCAGACCACGCTGGCGCCCTGGGGCGCAACCCCACGGGGCTCATCCACGAGTTCAGAAGAGTGAGATCTCCGCGTGGGGGTGAGTTTGAGAGAAAATGGTGAGAGCGGACTACACGACATCCACACGTACCGCGACGCGTCTTGGTTTCCCATTTCTTCCGATTGCCCTGCACTGTGCGGGGAAGGACTTAAAATGGCATCGAGCCCAGCCCATGCAACGTTAGAACGAGTGGGAATCCGAAGGACGGGAAGCTTACGGGGTGCACTGCGATCGTGGCTTTGGAAATGCATCACATCCTTCCATGTAAACTGAGAGACGTACACACCTGGTTTTACAGACCTACTCGTCTGTGAGTGTCTGAGAAAGTCAGTCAATACCTCGAGGAATACCGGTGAAGAGGAAACCACGTTCATGTCGAGGGGATGGCTTGCGCCGCCAGACAACGGCAATGTCATCCATAGCGGCGTGGTAAGCGGCTTTTTGAGTTCCCCTTCATCATGCAGCGGTACGAGATACACCAACTTCTCACCACCCATCCATCGATCGAGAATTTGCTCCGCACGTTTCTCCTGCTCATCCGTTCGGCACGGTAGTGAGAGTTCGTTCCCCTCGTTTTCGATCCAGATATCGCTCTGCACGTCAGCCGCAGGATCGGAGTGTTTCGAAACTAGTGAAAGGCCGATATAAGTCTCGTCGTCTTCATCGTTGTTCGCACTCCCCTCAAGGGCCGGGGAATGCGTGACGTCGTCCGACCGACAACAGGTCTGACTCTTCTCGAGCGAACCACAGCAGTGGAGGCGGGGGAGATGAGAGACCGTTACCCGCGGGGGTCCTTCGCGAGGCACGCGCTCCGCCACGCGATGGGCGGCAGGAAGGACGCCAATCAAACGGCCTGCTATCGCCGTAGAGCTCCCTGCCGCCGCGAGGGCCCTCCCTGCCGTTGAAACGAGCAGCCAAACGCAATCTGTCGGGCGCAGACCGGAAAGGAGCCCATCCCCGATGACGCCATCCGAGGCCGCGAAGGGGACGCCGCGTTCGACATGGAGGTGCTCCAACCCGACGGTGAGCGGCGGGGGGGAAGGGGGGTCCGCAGGGGATGCCACCGGAGGCTTCGTCCAAGGCCCCACAGCAACGGAAAGGACCCCAACAACGAGGTCGAAGTTCCCACCAACCCCGTCGTTGGATTCCGCGGATACGAGGTACACCAGCTTAGCACTGGGTGTATGCTTTCTAAGAGGCCCTCGGATGGTGGATGCTTCGCTCACGACAGGGCTAGAGTCGTCGTCGACGATCACCTTTGGTAGCATAGATACGTGCAGCACGCTAAACAATTGCGGATTGTGTTCTTTCCAATCCTTGCTTTTTTCCCCCATGGTGGTGCTCGTCGCCAACGTAACGGCATGCGGGAACAGCCTCCAGCGTCGGCTCGGACGTGGCCTCCCACTGTCTGGGAGATCACCCATAACGTCATCCTCCTCATCCAAGGAAAAAAGACTGAGCGCCGGTGACGAATACCCTGTCTGGCGCTCTCGTTTGTAGGCCTCGGACGCCGCACGACTTGGGTTCTCGGATGAGACCTCGCCTACCGTGGTGCGTATCAACACGTGGCGGGCGCTTAGGAATACCACCCCACCGAGTTCCTTAACGGGCAACCCACGAGCCGCGACCAGCCTGCGGTCGACGCCGTTGACGATACCCTCACCCCATGGAGCGCTCTCCGCGTCGACGACGTCGGTGTAAATATATTTCCCAGCGTCGGCGTCTGGAAAGAAGAACTGTGCTCGACACGCCGCGGGGGTGGCGGCGGGGGCCTGTGGACCCTTTCTTTTGCTAAGATTCGCCCCTAGTGTATCGTTCTCGCCCTCAAGCCACACTAACTCCCACACAAGGCCAACCTCACCACCTTGTGGAGATTTTACCTCGTGCAACATGCCCGAGCCGTTGCCAGGGCTGCCGTGGGCACCGGCATTTAAGGGATGTGGGACTTCAGATGGCGCACGTCGCGAGGGCTGTTCGTACAACCTCACCACGCACGTCTCGCCCGACTCCATGTCGTTATAGCACCAAGTCTGTAGAGGAATCAGCAATGGTGTTTGAAGGAAGGTGGGACCCGAAGGAGGAAGAACCCCATCGTCCTGAGGCACAACGGTACGATGTACAATCACAGTTGCTGACATTGTGTTCACTTTTCTCACCAAATTACACTATTTTGATGTGGAGACTCGGAAAATAGAAAGCAGCCTTTCCAATATTGCTGCTGTGATTTTCGCAGAAACCTTACAAGGGTGAGGAGTAAGAGTACAAAATCCAGATATGGAATTCAAAATCCCGTCAATGTTCAACGATCTGCAGTAGTGGGTGCATCTCACATATATTAACCCCTACAATGAAAAGGTGTACAAAAGTGATTCCAGTGAAGGCACACAAATATCGTCCCCCTCACACTACGGGTAGGTGTGTAGTAGAAGGGAAATGTAAAAAGAAGAAGACAAAGGAAGTTAAATTATGAAGGAAGTTGATGCTACACCTTTCATTAAAAAAAAATCACATCAGCTTTCGTTACCTCCTACCTGCATTGGTGGGGTGTGTCTTACAAATAGGGGAAAAAGCTATGTATCTCCCCAACACATGCACTTTATAGCATGCTGCATAAAAGGCAATATTTTCCATTATCAAGTCCAATGAGAATAATGTATAAACAACTTACTATTCAAAGGACCCAATGCAAAGCATTAGATATGCTGCTTTCTCACATTGCATTGCACTAAATCCTATATGTGCGTATATAGTTTTACTACTTCTCATGGTAACAACACTTTTTCCAATATTGCCCGCGCTATCGCGTAGAGCGGTGGTATGCCTTCCTGCATACCCATAGATGCCGAGAGCGTTGCCGGGGCTGCAGTTCCATTCTTCATAATCTGTACTCCCTCATGTTCTTCGCATAGTGCAAGCGGTAGATCACTCGTATAATATGCGAAGCGTGTCTTTAGATCTTCGTGAGTAATACCTTGGCGGTAGAGGTCTTCGATCACGCGCGCGAAGTAGGAGCCCTCCATCTCTGCCCCCACGCAGCGCCACACCCGCTTGTAGTACTTCAACAAGCGCGCGTTCTGAAGCATCGTGCCTGTAACGGTTAGAACCTTGCCGTGGTGCACCGCGATGCGCTGTCCGATGAGCTCCTTCAGCCGCTCAATGGTGAGGTCCTGGTTGCGGCAATTGCGGAGCTCATCTTGGTTGTCTTCCATGATGAGGCTGGACTTTGACAGGAGAACGTGGCTCGCGAGCTGGATGTCGCCGCGCTTGCCCACTAACCCGCCCGCTTTGCCCACAACACTAACACTTCGAATGTGCTTTCCGAAGGCGGAGAAGATAGCGCGGCAGATCCCCTCTGCTTGCGCGCCAAAGGCGAAATCCATATTAATGATAAAATGGTGCGATGAACGTTTTTGTCGGGATGTTGCCTCTTCGGACTCACCCCCACAGTTCAGAGCCTCTTCGTAGGGCTTCCGAATCGATTCCTGCAGCGTCTCGTCGATGGACGTGAGGTCGAGAGCATGCACAGGGATAACCTCAACTTGCAATCCCGTCATGGCGGTATCATCAAGCACGGTAATCCCACTCGACTCAAGGCTCTTGTTGTACTCCTCCTTAAGATCCGGGCGACAATTGCGAAGGAAGCCCCCCAACGCGGCGTAGAGCAGGTCCTGCTTGTTGTACCAGTCCTTCGGTGATCCAACGCCCTTTTCCTTGCCCGCCCGCGCGTACTCCTCGATCTCCTTCTTGTACTTTCGGATGAAACTAGATAGCAAGTTCTTTATGCAGTGCTTATTACTGCTCACGATGTCCACGGAGAGATCCTCTGGGAAGTCTGAAAAGCGGCACATCCCAAGCTTCTCCAGCACACACGCGCGCAGATTGAGGCACCACTCATGGAAGGGGTTCGTTTGAAACTTACGTGAGATACTTGGATCGATGCGCACATTGTACTCCTCGCGGTGGATCATCACTTCATAGATGCGCATTAGCGTGGAAGTTCCCCAATTTCGAATCAGGCCGTCCTGTTCTTCCGGCGACAACGGCATCCGGCGCAGTACGTCCTTAACCCGCTCCTTCTCTTGCTCCGGTGTGATTTTCTTCATCTCCGTTTCTTCCTTTTCTACGTTGCGCATGTACTCATCGAGGATGTCGATCGCCGGCGGGTGTACCATACCCTGCACGCGACCACGCAGCTTATTGCTCTCGATAATGTGAACACATAACATGGTGAGAAAATCGAGCAGGTCCGTGAAGCCATCTCGAAGCAGCACCAACGTCTTCCCCTCCATCCCCAGACTCCACGAGCAGCGTCGTCGCTCTTTGGTGGGAATGTAGGTGACCTTTGTGCGGCCGCGATGGGAGGACTGCGAGCTCCGCTGCTGAAGCACGTCGGCAGCGCGCGCCTCAACCCGCATACGGCTCGCAATGAACGGCGGAAGGGCATGCACCAGATCGAAACAAAACGTCGAGGTCAGGTTCTCCGGCAGGCGGTTCACGGCGTAGCCCCACGCCCCGGTGTCAAGCTCCTTGCTGAAGACCTTTGTGTGGATGACGTTCTCGAGCATGGTGTAGCTCTGCACGATGGACCACAGCGGGAGGTACTCGTTCTGCAGCGAATCCTGCGCGAAGACGATCCGGCAGAACTGCCGAATGGGCCCGAAGACGTCAATGGAGTCCGCGATGGAGGAGCCAACACCCTGGGCAAAGCGCGGGTTCCGGGAGAGCGAGTTGAGCAGCTCGTCAAAGGGAAGCAACGAGAGGATGGTTTTGGTCGTCATGCACCCAGCGCGGAAGAGGTACTTCGACGTCTCGTCGTACACGAGGCTGTCGATGCCGAATAATTGCCTCGCCTCGAGGGTTGCCACGTGGGTGTAGATCGTGTTGTCGATGTTGAATTCTTCGGAATCATCCTCGAGGACGTGTGTGGGAAGTCTCTGGCCGCGGGTCGGGGATATCGAAGCCGACGCCAGGCCACGCTGTTTGTGGAGGAAGACCGACGGGGTGTGCACCTTCCCGCTGTCCTCGTACGCGGCCCCGGTGGATCTCGCGCGGAAGACCTCAACGTTGCCCCAAACGACGGTGTAAAGGTGATGGAGGCGATTTCCGGGCTCGAGAACGATATCGCCGCAGGTGTACTCACGGCGGAGGGATAACGGTACCAGTCGCGCCAAGTCTTCCTCATCCAGAAGATGCAGCAGGGGGACATTGCGGTACAGCCAATTCAGGTGAGCATTCATCGACACGTCGTTGAATTTCTCAAAGACACTCGCCAACGCGTGATCGGAGGTCACCTTCCAGGCCTTATTGCCGCTTGAGGTGTTGCTTAACGAGGCTGCCTTCACGGCATCGTGTGCCTGCAAAAGTGCCCCATCCGCGCGCGCCGGGGCGCCTACCGCAGCATTCTGAGGATCACTCAACGGCTCGCTTCCGTTGCTGATGGTGTCTTTAACGGGGCTCGCGAAACCCCCCTTGCGCCTGGTGGCATCGAAATCCACCCCAGCATGGGCAAAGTCCGACGCGTTCGACGTTTTATCACCATGCATCCTAAAATGCGAGGTGACATAGTCGTGCAGCTTTTGGTAAGTCTGTAGTGCATGGTCGCTTGAAAATAGCGAGGACGTGTCGACGAACGACTTCGAATGGGGTTCCAAGGCCAATCCATCTGTATGCGATGCTGCGTTCGATATCATGCTTGCCGTGTGAGCATCCTGATCGCTATCTCGACTGCTCTTCTCCTGATGAGGACTTAACGCTAACGTCGAGAGATCCCCTCGCATCGCGCTGCTCGTTCGGAAGGATATCGGTGTTATGAGTTTGCACACCACATTTGCAACAACGTTATTGGTGATGTTCGTCTTTCTCGGTGCGTTCGTCGAGCCAGAACGTAATGGAACAGGTTGATAATATTGGTTAGCAATACTTGTGATCAAGCTGCTGGAATTTCCGATGAAACCGGGCCCTGGAAGCATCTGATTAACTCCAGGTGTCAAAGGCCTTGAGCATGCCTCTAAAGCCGACCTCACATAATTGTCATCGGGAGCGTCTGAAGCATAAAAAGGTTCTTCGCCCTCCGACCCAGTTGTTGAGGTAGGCGAACCGTTTTCCTGCCTTTCTAGGCTCTCTCTCTCAGAGTGAGAACTTGAATTATCTTCCTCTTCTACATGTGTGTTAACTTTATCAAGCTCCATTTTTTTCGTAAATATACTAATGCAGAATTTATCGTTATGCAAATCGAAAATACAGCTTCCGTCGGAGTTCTTTCCCTAGAAATATTCAAAAATTTCACTGAATTGAGGGGTTCCTGATAAAAGAGGACTTGAGACGATAGTTAAATGCAGCATCTTGGAAAAAGACTAGCGCCGCCCCATATTACAGATGCTCTTTCATTAGCGGTTTATATATATATATTTTTGAAAGCTCCTTCATTCTCGATTTTCCATTGAGGGGGAAAAATGGTGTGAGTAAGCTAAATTTTTTATGATGGAACAAAAAACTAATAATAAGCAGAACATCAAAAGCTATAGATATGCACAAGCAACAACTTAGGGCTCCCCTTTGTCATTTTCAAACTTTCTACCTACCTCAATACAAAAAAGGAATTCAAAAGTAAACATACCATGCTTAATAACTTATTAATATTTCTTTTGTTCAGAAATGGAAAAGAATAGGCACTTTGTGCATTACACTAAATAGTAAACAAAAATACAGAATGAAAAGAAAAAACATCCCTATTTACCTTCCTTGATACACACACTACTCGAAAGGATATTAATAATAAATACATAAAAAACATACCCTTCTACCTTTTGTTTTTTTGCTAGTGACATGACCTTTTGCTCAGGTCAATGTGCTATTACACCCTCTCCGTTTATTTTCATTTAGTTGTTGTCATCACTACTCCATGGTGTAGAGGGGACGATGTGGAATCAACACTTCGGTTGCGGTTTTAGAACCAACCAACATCACCGACCCTAACTTAGCACCAGTGGTAGTAAAACCATAGAAATAGACGTTCTGCACGTTTTGCGTTTTCTTCACGTGACCCTCCGCCCCCTCTTTGACCGCCACCTAAACGTGGTCTGAGAATGAGGTCTTGATATTGGAGGGGCTTTTCGACAGCACCCCCGCCAGGAGAGGCTGCGACGCCCACTCATCTACCTTTCCTTCCGTCTCGACACGGAAAAATGAACGGTTCAAGATGATCTTCCGTGCCTTCTGCAGTTTATGAGCGAACTGATGCTTCTTTGCCAGGGTGAGTTGGCCCACGTGGAAAAATTGCGCCACCATGCTCGATTGCATGTCGGAATGTGAGCGTAAGTTCGAGGAAGCTTCCGAGGAGACCGCCCCGCAGCCTTCTGTGCCACCAGCCACAATCTTCCTCTGCAGTATATTACTCAGGGCGTCGTTGGCGGCGCTCTCGAGTGCCTCCGGCACTCGGTCGCGATAGGCGTAGACTTTTTTGATATGCGACAAAACTTTTTGCCAACGGCTTTGGGAGCCCATTTCGTCCAGAAACGGACCACTGTGGCCGAGTTTGGATCCAGCGGAGCGCATTTGACGGGAGTGCTCCCCCGTACTACCCTGCACGATTCTGGACGAAAGGTCAGTATGGGGAGCCAAAGTGCATGTGAATTGCGGGAGTCCTGTATTTACGGGCACTGGCTTCTGAGCGGCATCGACGCTCTTGCTGTGGAGCTCATCATGTAAGCACGATACTACCGGCGAGACCAACGCCACCGACGAGGAGGTGGAGGAGAAGAAGTCTATATCAGAATCGGCAACCGCTTTGCATCTTTGTGTCCCTTCGCTTGTAGCGCATTCTACGTAGCCCTGTGATAGCGGTTCCTCTCCATCGCTGCGGCGCCCCACATTCCCCGAGACATTTGTGATAGGGCTTGATACCATGATAGTGGGCGTATAAGGCACTGCTGAGTCTTCCTTTTGGACCTCATTCGATTGAGATAGACAAAAGTGCTTCCTGACGACACCCTCCGTTTTTTTGTGTACCTTGTCCTTGTCCTTGCCCTGCTGCACTGCTTTCCCTGCTGAGAACGTCCCCAAGGAATTTGCTCCATTTGACGTGGGGCACAGGGGGGAGTGCATTAAGCTATGGGATTTACTTCTAATGGAATCACGCTTTCCCGGAAGCTCTCTTGACGTCGAACGCGGGGGCGTCTCTGGAGGGTCTTGGAATGCGACGAACTTGTTCAAAATGTGTAGAAGATGCGCCCGCTGGAGCGCAAGCACTGCGGAATTCGTACTTTCGTCGGCGGACTCAGTAAAGATACTGAGCTGCAATAATTGCTGGGCTGTGGCCCGCTGCTCTGGTTGAGGGTTCAAACACGCCGACACGAACTCCGTCAAGCACGGCGGGAAGTCAAAAAGTGGGGAAAGATCCGGCGTGTCGCTAAGCGTAGTGATGTACTTCGTAAGTCCTGCTGGGCCTTTCATCTCTTTAATATGTGAAAACGGGGGCTCGTTAGTCGCCAATTCAAGTGCAACGCAGCCCAGTGACCAGATATCCGATGAGAAGCTATAGCCAATGCGCAAACCAGTCTCTGGCGAGATGTCGCCAGCGGACATGCATTCTGGCGACATATACAACGGGCTGCCTTGCATGTCATACAACAGCTGACCTTTACAGATTTGTCGCGCGCTGCCAAAATCGCCTATCTTTCCGGTGCCGTCCTGCGCGAGGAGGATGTTCGCGGTCTTGATATCGCTGTGGACGTAGTTCTGGGAGTGAATGTACGCCAGGCCCGCCGTGATATCCCGCAGTAGACGTTGGATCTGACTGAATTCTAGCGGTGATTGGCGATCTTTCAGAAGCTCACGAAGTGTGCCCCCCGTCGCGTATTCCATAAACACGCGAATCGTCCGCTTGTCAGGACTCTCTTCACAGTAAAAGTAGTGAATGATGTTAGGGTGTTGGAGGTTGCACATGGTATCGATCTCATAAAAGGAGCTTTCCATACGAGCTTTGTCACTGTGAAGCTGCATTTCCTTCATCGCCATCTTACCACCAGTGAGTACATCTGTCACCTCATAGACCTCACTAAACACCCCTTTGCCGATCATCCGGCCAAGTTTCCACTTCCCGTGGCCCCCTTTCGCGAGCTCCTCTCGAATATGCGCGATCCACTCCGCCTCTTGCTTGACTACGAACATCTTCTCTTCCGCTGAACTGATGACCTCCATGGCTTGTGCAGGTGTACACGGCTTCGTCAAACTAAAAAACCCTGCTGCGTGAAACACCTCACTCGACGCGGGGGTTAAGTCCTCGGTGGTGAGTACCACTGCCATTTGCGTCATTTTCTCGCGTAGCATCGTGATCGCATCCCTAGGCTCTAGCGACCTCAGCACGGACTGACTCAAGTCGATGAAAAGGATATCTACGACGCCCGCCATCCGCTCAATATCCTCAATGCTTTGAGCAGATAGAACCGCATGTTTTCGCTGCCAGAGGTACCCACACAACATATTTCGATGCACCGGATTGTCTTCCACAACGAGGGTAGTATAGCAGCAGGCCTTCTGCGCACCCATCTCCGGGGCGCTGTCGGACACTATGCGTGTGTAAGGAGCACACGCCGCGGACTCCATTTCCGCTAGCTCCCCGTTATGCGAAAACAAAGAGTTGGGTTCGGTGGTGTGTTGGGTGATCGAGGGCGTGGCCTCCGTAGAGATCGGATTATCCGGACCGTTGATGCTAACAAGGCTAGCACTGTTGGCCAAGGGTTGCGTCATCCTTGGGATATTCAAGTGGTTGCTGCTCCCGCTTCCTGAGATGTTCGTGAGGGACTCATCATTTGTAGAGGTGCTGCTCATGTTCATTGGTTTAGCAGGAATAAACGGAATCAAGAACAGCAGGTTAGAGTTCCCTGGTGCGCTGACTATGCGCATCGTGCCGCCCTGTCCCTCCACTGCTTCCCGCATCCACTCCAAACTCTCCTGTCCCTTGTCGACGCCGAGATCGCCCAAATGTGATGACGTGCTATTTAAACGGGTCTTCACTGACGTCTTACTGACATGATGATCACCCAAGTTGCTGCCGTCTACAGTGTTTTGAGAAATAGAGTTAGGCGCAGGGGTTAAGAACGCTGACGGGAGTTTTTTTTCCAAAGCACCGATGTACTCCGGCGGGAACCCAGGACCGTCAACGCTAAAGTCAATCACGAGGAATTCTAGTCCACTTTTAGTAGTGAGGGATACCTCGATACCCAACCTCTTGGCATGAATACAGTTAATGCAGAGATTCACAGCGTAGCGCAGACACTTCGGAAGCAGCACAGCATCTAGATAGATCTCCATTGTTGGCAATTGATCGAAGTGCTGTCGGATCATCACACCGCGAGTGACGCAGTCGCTTCCGAAATCCATAACAATCTTTCCAACCATCTGCTGCAGGTTTACAATGTGCAGCCTATCTACGGAGAGCGTCGCGGCGCGGTAGGTAACCTCAAAGTTGTCCAAAGACTCTACGAACAGCCGCTGGCGTTCTTCGGGTGAAAAGGTGGAGTTTGAAAGGATATTCCGAAACTCTGCGAATAGTAAAAGCGGCTCGCACTGAATAAACTCCGAGACCCAATGAACTTCTTCACCGTAAGCCAGGATAACGTTCACCTCTTGGTTACTAGAGGCTACCAACGGTGGCAAGAAATGGAGCTTAAGAATCGTATTTGTCAACCCATCCCTACGCACGAACCTGAAACTCCTAGGTTTAGTGGTAGCATGGTACTCTAAATAACCCTCGACATTTCCGGCATAGCTCGCCGCTTTACCGATAATGTAGCGCATGAACTCCTGATCGTTTTTTTCCAAAAGGAAAGAGTAAATGCTCTGACCAATAATCTCTGACGACGTGTAGTTCGTAAGCTTCTCGAGACCAGCACTCCACAAGCGAACCATCCCATCCACTCCAAGGCCAATAAGCACCATATTCGAAGTGGAAAGGAGTGGTGCTATTGGAAAGCGTAGGATCAGATCGCTCGGGTTATTCATCAGTGGGGTATTTTTACCCTTTCCTGCGTTGCCATGAGCTGGTGTAGAATTTGAGCGCGGGGAGTGGTGCAACAACCGCACAGCCATGACCAACTCACCGCTAGGATCGACGTCTGTAGTACCCCCTTTCTCGGAGACTACCGGTGTCGTGGGTGGCGCCGTCTTCTTGTTGGCTAACGCGTCATCGTGCACCGGTTTGGAGCCGGATGGTACAGCGTCTTTGCGGTGGTAATACACGTCGTAAATCGGATTCGACGCGATCAGCCTCTTCAAGTTCTCGCTGATGGGCCCGGTGATGAGTTCGAAGTGACTTCGGCTGATGCACGCCGTCACGACGCGCTCGGAACTCACAACGACGTCGGCAACCGTGAGGCGGGAGAGGATAAACTCAAGCTCGCCGATAATGTCGTCCTTGTGCAGCCTAATAATCTCCTTTTTCTGTCCCTTACGCCGGCCCACAACTTTGACCTCGCCTTCCAAAATAAGATACACGTGTGAGGTTTTCTGTCCAAAGTGAAATATATACTGATCCTTCTTGAAAACTTTGATCATGAGGGCCTCAACCACGCTCAGGCGCTCATGATCGGAAAGAACTCTCAAGAGAGGCATCTTTAGGATTAAAGACTCGTAGTGCTTGCGTGCGTTTAGCCTGCCATTTACGACGGCGCGGTGATAACTCGTCTCATCGAGGGTATACATGACGCACTGGGTCACGCAGTGGACCGTAGTAGCACACTTCGCTTGATTATACATCAACTCTAAACCTCCAAAACTCGCACCGCGTGAGACGGTCGCAATAACTCGATTGTTCTTAATAATTTCGCAGGTTCCTCTGGCGAGAAGGTAAAACTTCCCCTCAAAGTCCTTCCCTTGCGTCATGATTTTCGTATCCGCGGGGTAGACCTCCTTGACTAAGCTCATAGCGACCTGGTTGATTTCCTTCTCCTCGAGTTCTGTGAAGATGACGAATTTTTTTACAAAGCTTACCAGACGATGCACCTTCGAGGGAGACTCCATGCATGTCGAGAAGGACTTGTATAAGTTAATTTGATCCATGTCGCAGACAGGGGCAGAGATGGCCACGCGCCGGCCCGCCTTTTTCACCACTTCCAAGATCTTCTGCACTTCCTCGTCCGCGAGGGGCGGCGTATCCTTCGAGCATGTTTCTGTTCCAGTCTGTGAGGACGACGTGGGGCTACCATCTGGGCCCGGGTTATCCACGTTGATGAGGTTTTCCTTCTCCTCATGGAAGTGAAGAAGACCAAGCGTGGCGGCATCTGTGCAACTTTTGCGCCGCACGAACGTGGTCCCCAACGTGGCGGTGGATCCCGTGCCTTGGCTTTGCGTGCCGAACGAGGGATTCTCGCCTCTCGCCGAAGAGTTCTGTGAGGCGTTCGCCACGCGAGAAATCCACCGACGATCACGAGAGCGCGCTGAAAGAACCCTGGTGCTGGCATTTCTTCCCCCCAAAAACGTATCATAGGTGGCACGACCTAACGGTGTTGTTGCGTCGGAGTGCAGCGACAGGCGCCCCACGTTGGTGCCGGGCATGGTGGGCACTCTACCCTTGCCTAGATCCAGTCGTTGGGCTGCCCCTGCTCTCTCCTCGACCATATGAGAGATCTCGAGGAGAACGTCCTCATCGCCAATCTTGTCTAACATGTGGATAATCTGCTCTTTGTGGAAATCCTTGCGGTTGGTCTGCAGCAGACTCGTGAACTCCGCCAGGGCTACGCTGCCGTCCGAGAACTGCGTGGTGGATTCCTTCGTGTTCATATCCTCAGATAGCCTGTTGCGTGTGGGTGTGCTCTCCGAGTACTTTGAATCGCATTTGGGAGAAATCTCCTCTTGGGTGGTCGGGGTATCACTATTGAAGGACACGACTGGAAGAGGACAGCGCGACGGGGGCCTCGTCAGTGTTTGCTTGTGAACGATCATCATCGAGGAACTGCTGCTGGAAGATGAGGATAATTCGCTCTGATGTTTACTGTTAGGAGTGCTGTGCTCCATGGCCGCAGCTCTAGATATGGGCACAAAAAACGTAGAAAACGTTGAAGTGGTGCCGGGAGTGACCTCCCCTGGCATCAGGATCCTAACTACGCTGTAGCTGGTGCTTTTCCCACGTTGCAGGCTGCAATAAAACTTCTATCACGCTATCAACACAACTCTACGATACTTGTTCGCTTACAATTACACTTACTGACACAAGGGAAGTGTGTGTGAAGGGGAGAGGGGATAAAGTAAAACGCTTTTCCTCCTAAATGCATAGAAAACGCAACGCACGCGTAGCCCTCCGTTCTGCTTACTTTTAGTGAAAAGGTCGAAAGGAGCAGCGTAGAAGGAAAAGCCCTAGCAAATCGAATTCAGTAACGTCTTTGACCAAAAGCAAACTGCTCTATTCGTTCTTTTTTAGACTCCGAATTTTTCTCTAGAGCTGGTCTAACGAGCTGGTAAGCGATCAGAGTGTAGTTTGGAAGCAAAGAGGTGTGGAGTATTGCGAACACCACCGTTAATCTTAGGTTAATATATAAAGTATAACGTATATATATATATATATATATATACTTTTTGGGTTCCGTTATTTTTTCTGCTTCTAGTACGTCCAGAAAGCAGCTACTTATGATACAATGTCTTTGCAATTATGAGTGAAGAATACTAAAAGCAAGTTGAGTAAGAAGAGGAAAAGCATAACAATTGTTTGATATATCATGATTATAAAAATTCATGGGATACGAGAGGACAAGGGAACTTTGGACTGTAGGGAGCCTTTTCATTCCCTTCCTCTTTCGCTTTCCTATCAAAGAATTCCTCTTCCTTGATAGGTACTCTATTTATTAAAATGATATTGCTATTGCATTTAAACAAAAAATATTAAATAGCCCAGACAGGAAAGTTCCTTCTCTTTAGCAAGAGCTCCTTTCTATTCCTTCTCCTTTTTCAATTGAGTCATCAACAACAAAAAAGAAGCGTGGAATGCAAAGGGAAAGGTAGGGTGGAGGGAGGTCTGGCCATGCGGTGAGGTATTATCCCTCGCCTCCCAACCCCTTCACCATATGCCGCTGACGGCAACAGATGACCCTTAATCAAACAGACCAAAGCCCATTTCATCGTCCTCCTCCTCGACCGCCTTCTCCTGATTAGCAGCGGCGGCGGCAGGGGCGGCGCTGGCGCCGGCCTCCTTCGCAGCGGGAGCAGAGGCCGCACCCCGGC